ACCAGCAACAACAGCACTACCAGCAACAGCTGAGCAATGCCAATCAGTACTACCAGAATCAGCAGCAGCAGCAGCAGTACCAGCACCAGAATCAGCAGCAGCAGCAGCCTTACGGAGAGAGCTCTCAGCAGTACCAGCACTACTACCGACCATCAGCTCAGCAGCCCACTCCCGCCCAGTACATTCCCCAGGCACAACAGCAGCAGTACTCACAGCAGCTTAACTCGCAAATGTCGCCTTCTATTTCCCACTCTTCCTCATCCGCTTCGGCTTCCGATGACCAGCTAGCTTCCCCTTCTTCCTCTTCCTCAGCGGCGAGCTCACCACAAGACAGCAGCAGCTCAAACAACAGCTCAGCCGATCAGCAGTCTGCTCAGTCTGATCAGCAGTCATAAAGGAACAGCAGTCAAAGCTGAACAAAATGGACTGATAAAAAAGTTGTGTTGATCTAGTAGTAAAAGTAGTAAAGTAGCAGGTAGCTTCAAGAGCAAACACGACCATCATTCACTAAAACCCTACCACCACCACCACCTCCCAAAGGCCAATCTGACCAGGCGTCTCGCCTCATAAACTTCTCATCTCAACCCTATTTTGTCTAGGTTGAGAAGGACATTGAGAAGGTGCAGCAGGCAAGTGCCGGTCACACTTATACACTTTGCAATCCACGGCAAAGCTCACAATTCCTCCATTTCCTTCCTTTTTCATTCCTCTCATCCGCTGGACTGTCGTCTTCCCCCGCCCCTTCTTTTTCACCTCAGACAGCAGTCGTCACCCCAACTTTTCATCCCATCCCTTAGCAGCACCTCACATCACCCCAAACACTTCATTATTTCATTACTTCATTCATTCATTCATTCATCCCCTTCACTGCCATTCCTTCACCCCATTCGTTCGTCATCTCATCATCACCCCTCCCCCACACACACCCATTCACTCTTGCACTCTTCCCCTTAGTCGTCCACTTGCACCGGAAGAGCTTCAAAGAGTGAGCACGCCTACAAATACACACAGACAAGAGCACGAACACCAGGCTTTAGGAGAAGTCGATAAGAAAGACTGATTTCCTGGCATCTTCTCTTCTTCTAGGAAACGTCAATTTGGAGTGAAATTGCACTGTCGCTTTCCCTCTAATTGCTTCTCTTCTTATAATTATCTCTCTCGCTCTCTTTAATTAATTATTAATAATTATTTAATTGTAACATTTTCCCTTCTCTTTCTCTTTCACTTTTCCTTCTTCATTTTCTTCAATTTTGTCTATCAATAAAGTTTGAAAGTTCGAGTTGTAACTTTTTTCTAATCTCTCTTCATCGTTGGCGGTATTTGCCTACAGCTTTCCATCCCTCTCTCAAACATCTTATTGATGAGTACTCCTTCTGGTCTGGTTTCTAAGTATCATCATCATCTAACTGAAGAGAGAAACAACAGCAGAGGTGAATTCAGCACACTGACTTCAGGCAAAGCGAAAAGAGGTAAAGTGAAAAGCTTCTGACAGTCAAACTGAGAAAGAGAAAGAAAGATTGCCCGTGTGTTTGTGTGTGTGTGTGCCCGGCGGCTCCTGAAGTCTTTAAAGTGAAGAGGAGAGGAGTTCGAGAGGACGACGACTGTTGCTAAAAATGGATTGCCGCCGCCGACGCTCCTGCAACAGATGAAAGTAACGAAGACGAACAATCTACAAAACGGCAGCAACGGTCAAAAGAGAGAAGAGAGAAAAAGAGAGGAACAAACGACTCTGATGAAGTCGTTAGTGGAGTTCAAAAGTTTGCTGCTGCTGCCGCTGCTGCTGATGCCTACGATGCGACCTCTTCAGCGAGAAACTTCTTCTTCTTCCTCCAGTGCAAGTCTGGAAAGTCAAAACTGAAGAGCTTTTGCTGCTGCTGCTGCTATTACCATTGTCATCATGAGGAACTTCATCGTGGCTGATGAAGTTTGCTGCTTCCAAAAGCTAAGTGCATGACCGAATTTAGTGGGGGAGAAATGAGAAGCAGTGCAAAAAAGGGGGAACAAGCACACAGTTTTGTTAGTGTAGAAGAGGGGACAAATCGATTGTCGCGCACTTGCGGTTGTGCCTTCCTTCCTTCCTTCCTTCATTCTCTTCCGCTCTCTCACACACTCACTCGTCGATATGCTAATCAAATGAGAATTAAAAGGCGCCACCACTAGCAAAACACTTCATCGACAGTGATTGACTTTACCCGACTTTACTCGTGTTACTTTACTACTACCACATGATTGCACTCTCCGGTTGATCATGTCTGCGGCGATGGCACCTGTACCACAAGAGATGAGAGTGATTGTGGGAATGCATTCATTCATTTATTAGTTCATTCTTCCGTTTCCGAGTTGTGAAAAAAGAGGGGGAAAGCAGTAGAAAACAGTTTCTCCGGTAGAACTTCTCACTTGTGCACACACACCTGTTGACTTTCTGTGCGCCAAATGCAATTGCATTCAGCAGAAAGTAACGTGGCGGCGAAATAAAAATAGCCGTCAAAAAGATGATGATGATTACTCTGGTATTGTCATGTCCAGGTAACGGTCAAAGAGAGTTCGGACAGTAGTGTTGATTGTCGTCATCGACGACATTGACACTACACACTACACAACAACTGCACACTTCGGTAGTGCACTCCACTGCTGCTGCTGCTGCTGCTGCCTCTCTCACTTGTTCAATTGTTGCCAAAGTCAGTGATTGATTTGTACTCTTTTCGGACGAACGAAGGGCCGGCAAACATGAACTCGCTATTTTTACAGCAACATTGGCAATCATCATCACCACCATCATCATCACCAGAAGCGGCATTATCTTCTTTGACTACGACGGTCAATCTTCATCGAAGCACTGCATTTGCTTTGATTTGCACTTTCCAAAAGAGCAGCAGCACCAGAGGCCACACATTTTCATCTTTTCTCCACCTCCCCGCTGATCGATTGGTCTTTGATCGTGTGCACTCCTCTTCATCACAATTGAATCAACACCTAATGATGCATCTTAATCAGTGGCTGAAATGAATGAGAGAGAGAAAGTTTCAGCCTCCTGGTCGCCCCTGGTCATGTGCCACCGGCGATGCGCGCGCTCACAGTAGGTCACAGTAGTTGTGGCGTGTAAAAATAATTTTTAAGTAATAGTAGTTATGTTAGTTACACACTGCTGCTGCTTAATACACCGTTGATACAGTCAGAGTAGTAGGGAAAATGGGACGGGATCCTTGGAAGCTCGGCTCGAGAGAGGATAAGTTTCGCGAGGGGGCCAAAATGGGCAAGCAAATTCGGCGACGACGATGAGCAGAGTGTAAGTGTGTGTGTTGAGAATGTGTGTAGCTAGTGCCACAACTATGATGAGATTATTACAAGCTATGAAGAGGAAAAAAGAGGGGGAGCTGAATAGCTGAAAATTCAGGAGCTCGGACACACAATGAGGGAGCGCGCAGTCGATCGATCAAAGGCAGGTCGACAGACACAGGAGCGAACAAACAAACAATTGTCGATCTACGAACCTCTGTGTGTGTTGAGTGGCATTAGTCCTCCTCCTCATGAGCCTCCGAAGTCGCCTTCGCCTTCTTTGAGGCCTTCTTTGCGGGCGCCTTCTTCGAGGCCTTGAGCGACGGCTTTTTTGCTTTAACGGCGGTCTTCTTCTTCTTCGCCCGCACAATGCCCTCCTTGGCGTCGAGGCGCTTGCGAATGATCTTGCCGGCCACCTTCCGCTGCTTCTTCTTCACCTCCTCGTCGCTCCGGTTGGCGTTCTCAATCTTCCGCGACATGCGTTCCAGCTGCAGCAGGTTCTCGGTGTTCTCCGGCTTGGCGAGGTCGTGCTTCCACTGCTCCAGCTGGTCGTAGTAGCGCTTCCGGTCGGCCTCCGCCTCCTCGGCGAACTCCCGGCGCTCGTCGGTGTTCATCGCCCGCCAGCGCTGCGACCAGATGCCGATGGAGCGAATGTGCTCCGGCGTCCGGACCGGCGGGTAGTTCCCGTCCGGGTACTCCTTGCGCAGCTGGCTGCGAATGAAGAAGATGTAGGCGGAACAGGGCTTCTTGGGGTAGTTCAGCTTGCGCAGCTTCGCCTTGATGCGAGCGCGGTTTTTGTCCTTAATTTTCTCCTGTTACATAAAAAAAGTGATTCGGTAAATTAGTATGAACTTTTAACAGGTGTGCAAAGAAGAAGTAGCTTGCACCACCACTTACCTTGCGCAGCTTCTTAAACTCGGCCAGCGCCTCGGGCGACATTGAGTTGAGGAAGGCGGCCATCTCCTGGCGGTATCGAACCAGGCCATCAGTCATCTCCTTCTTGTACTCGTCCTTCTGCTCGTCACTTAGCTGACGCCACTCTTCAGCAGCCTTGACGAACTTCTCCTTCAGCGACATGTCAGAGGGCATTCGCTTGAAGGCGGACTTAACGTAGAGGGCAAAGACGTTGGGGGCTCGCTTCGGTGGCCCGTCTAGACCGACCACCTTGGAGGCGTCAGAGGCGCCGGCTGACGATGGCTCGTTGGTGACAAAGGCTCGAGCTAGGACGGCAGCGCTGAACAGATCTGGCTTGAAGGTGGTCCCAGAATTGCCCGTTTTGTTGTTGTTCAGCAGTCCCGAAGCGTTCAGTGCCGCCGGTCGACCGCCCTGAACGGTGAGGCACTTCCACAGCAGCGATGCAGTGGTCAGCTTGATCATCGCTGCAAAATTGTCGGAGTCAGTGTTCAAGAATGAATGCTGCGGTCAAATAGAATCGGGTAATCGTGGCCGGGAATCGTGGAACAGAATGAAAAGTGGCAGTGGCCGCTTTTCGTAAATAAACCGAACTTTTGGCGCAGGCTATTCATGCAGTACGTGCCTCGGCTTTTGCCAGCCGCCTCCAGGTGTCGCCAGGATCGGTGTAAAAGAAGGAACACATGTTTTGTTCAAAACATTCTCTTTTCTGCTGTTGCCAACTTGAATCCAACTCAAATCTTCAAGTGTCCTGGACCCCAACTTCGACATCATCTTCAGGACATCTCAAAAAGAGAAGAGGAGAAACCGTGATGGGGCGAATCGTGTACATCGGCCGCGAGTCGAAGCACCTCGGCAAGACGGCCTTCACGCTGCTGGCCAATCTGAAGAACTTCGGCGTCGGGCGGATGATCACCCGCCACGAGTTTGACGCCTTCCCCGAGGCGCCCAGCTTCCACATCGTCAAGAAGGTGGAGACGGTCATGGACCCGGAGCTGAAGTACGGCACCATCTGGTGCGAGACGGTCATTCAGGGCCGGCGGCTGCCCGGCATTCGCCCGCTCAAAGTAGGCTACCGGCCGGACTTTCGGCTGATTCCGCGCGACGAGGAGGAGGAGTTCCTGCGGGGCCATCAGATCGAGAACCTCGGCGACCGGGTGAACATTCTGCCGGCGAAGTACGAGGTGCCGCCGCTGATGCGCGAGTACATGAAGCGGCACTTTGCGCGCACGAAAACGGGCGAAAAGTACACTGAAGGCGAGCAGTTTGCGATTCCCTTCGTGTACAAGGACCGGAAGGACGCCCGAAAGGACGACGCCGACCTCTTCTGGATTGCCAACCGCATCGCCAAGGACGACGGCAGTGAAAAGCCGACGGTGCCCTTTGACGGCAAGTTCCACTTTAACGAGGAGTACCGGCGACACTGTGTACCATTTGTCAAGAAGGCGAATAGTAGTACGCAACAATAAGAGACTGTCCGGGCCACATTTTGTTGTGTTTAGTCTTGATCAGTGTAATCGTAGATTTGCTAGTACAATTTGCTGTAAATAAAGTCATTTCAAAGTTGGATTGATTCTCACTCTCACAGATTCTTCTAGTACAGCCTTTCGGGCCACTAGAGGGCGCCCTAGGAAAGGCTGGTGTGAGCGAAAAGCGTGTTTTCATTTTCTTCTCCTCTCCCTTCATTCTCTCTCTCGTTTGGTGGTGATCACCACCTTTCTTTCACCGGCCAAATAGAAATCGCCGGCATCTGATCACCTCGCTTTTGTTGGAGTCGTACCACCGTGACAACACCTTCCACCGATGGAGTCGACAGAGGTCGACAACATAACTG